TCCCTTTCTTGGGAAGACCCCCAGCATCCTGAGATGGGAAGTTTGTACTCACATTGTTTGACCAACTGGCAGGGCCCCTTACTTTCCCTAGTCTTCAGCATCCCTGTCTGTGCAATGAGAGAGTTGGATTAGGTCAGAAGATGCCAACTGGTAGCTGGATTCAGCAGGCATGTGCTGCATTTGGCCCACAGGAAATTTCAGTATGTTCTTTAAAAATTAATAGCCCTAGGCCTCCCTGGTGGCGCAAGGGGTTAAGACACAACCTATGAAGCTGTCCGCAGCCACTGCAGCATGAGTTCAATCCCCAGCTAGGGAGAAACCCACATGGCGCAGCAGACCTCTCCTGACTCTCCCGCTGCTCCCCTCAGCAATGTATTTTAGTCGTTCCACCTGTTCTGGTCCCCGCTCTGTCTCTGGTGAATCCTCCTACCTCCCACACCTCTGGCCTGCACCCCAGTTCTTGCAAAAATAAATAAATCTTAAAAAAAATTAATAGCTCTTTTAAAATGTCATTATTTTTAAATTGTATTCTTTTTTATTGAGGTAATGTTGGTATAGGGCATCAATATGACTCTGAGGTATAGATTCACAATCGTCAGATGTATGTTACCACATCACACCCACCCCAAGACACCCCCAGTCCATGGGGCTCTCTCCATGCTTTGTTCGCACCCTCCCCCTCCTCCTCCATAGCCTCAGTTCTACTGTCAGATTTCTAGAGCTTGTTTTGGTTTGGTTTGGTCTGTTCATTTTGTTCTCTATATTCCACATATGAGTGAAATCATCTGGTATTTGTCCTTCTTCTTATGATTTATTTCATTTATCATTACCCCTCCAGTTCTATCCATGTTATCACAAATAGCAAGATTTCATCTATTTTTATAACTAAGTAGTATTCCATTGTATGTCTATATGTACATACACCACATCTTCTTAATCCACTCATCTGTTGTTGAATAGCCCAGGTTTTTTATAGTAGCTTTAGGTTTCCAGAAAATGGAGAGGGAAGTGCTGTTTCCATACACCTCCTCTCCTACCTCTACTCCTTGCGTTAATATGGTACCTTTGTAACAAGTGACAACTGACATTACACATTATAATTAAAGCCTATATTTGCATTAGGGGTCACTCTTTGTGTTTTACAGTTCTATGGGTTGTAACAGATGTACTATGTCACATATTACAGTAGCATAAAAACAGCTTTCCTGCCCTAAAAATCCCCTGGGTTTCACCTGTACCCTTCCATCCCCCCTAAACCCTGGCTATCACTGATCTTTCATTGTCTCTACAGTTTCGTATTTTCTAGAATGTCCCTATATGGGTATTATGTAGCCATTTCGGACTGGCTTCTTTCACTTAGCAATATACATTTAAGTTCCCCCACATCTTTTTGTAGATTGATAGCTCATTCTTTTTATCCATTCACCAGCATGATTTTAAGGCAGAATAATCTGCCAGTATTTGAAAATTAAGACATTATATTGAAATCCAGATTTTCAGTTTCTTTTTAAAAACTAGAAGATTTGGTCACAGTGGGCCTGTTTTTCCAGATGGCAACACAGCTGAAATCAAAAAGCAGCAGGCCTCTCTGGACCAGATGAGGAGGACCTGCTCTCTACATTCCCCTCCTGTCCTCCCTTGTGAACTAACAGGCACTGCTAAGCACACAGACCCAGCTTTGCACACTATTAGCAGAGTTACTTCAGGCAAATGTGTGATGTGTGACATGCTTTCCATTTTTGTCACTTCCTATCGTCAGATCTATCTCCACCCTTTTCTGCCCTGTCCTGTGTCCAGGGACACTGACCCTGCAGGCTGCAGCTCTCTGGCTCCCTTGCTGTCTGGTTTACAGACAGGAAGCACTGGCATGTGATTGGAGGGTGAGAGGAGAGAGGCACCACCATATGCTCCCACCAAAATCCCCCCTCCTTGGGCTCCTGCTGTCAAAGAGTAGCTGCAGCAATCCAAGACCAGGGTGCCTGCTGAGCAACCCTCCCCTACTGTCCCAAATCTCATTGGGCACTGGTGACTCCACACCCTCCCTTCGCCCCTTCCACTGTGGCTAGCCTCTGGTTCTCTCAACCTCTCTTGTTTATTCTCTCAATCCTTTTACTCCCCTGTGCACAACCCTTTCATTAGTCTCTTTATTTGAACCATTTGCATTGATTCTATTTCCTATTGAGACTAAAACAGTAAGTTGCTTATTTTATCTGTGCTTCAACTTCTTCATCTGAAGATGCCCTCTTCACAATGAGGTGAGAAAATGTATGCCTAGTACAGTGGTGCCTAGTACAGTGCTTGGTATATATAAGTGCTCAATGAGTGTTTATTAATATTCTTATCATTCTCACTATCATTAAGCTTTATCACCCTGGGGCTACATGATCTCCATAGGCTCATAAAGCATGGACAGAATATGAATGGGTGACTCACTACACAAAAGTTGCTGTGAATAAATCTCCAAAGAGCATCTTAATCTTTTGATCCCAAAGTAGAGTTGAAGCTTGGATGATGTTAATGCTCATTATCTCTCTCCGTTTATAAGCAAAAGGACTGTGTCCTTTAGGGAGTGTGATAGCAAATATTTCCTCAGATGATGACAGTCATGTGGAACTTTGACCCCACTTACAGGTAATGGATAACATTCAGGGAGAGCTTCCTGATAATTCAAGTTTTTATATGTGGGACTATGCAATGACTACACACCACGGTCTCTACAGGTAAGACCAGTGAGGTTCACAAACGACATTCAAGAGATGATGTGATTTGTCCAAGGTCACACGGTCAACAGATTTTCAAACTGGAATGAAACCCTGGTTCCAGACCTATGCACTGCCCACTACATACCCTACCCATTTGCGGGAGAGATCGCATTCACACTGACCCTCAGAGTTTTCATCATCACAAAAAATCTTCCCATTTCTTAAAAGAAACCTGGCTCAACCTTACAGATCCCCTGATTATGTTAGCAAGGAGAAATGTCAAGTGGTATCATTAGGGTGGGGTCCAAGCCTGCCCTCTACCACCTCATTTCCTTACTGGGAATGTCTGCATGCCAACCAGGCTCACGGAGTCTGCACCCAGGCTGATCTCTGACAGGTCTCTTTGCGAGAGGGGAGAGACCCAGCCAGCTTGAAAAGCCCAGGGATGAGTAATTTAAAAAAATGAAGCTCAGACAAAAACTCCAGTCCCTTCCCTCAGATTGTACATAAGTATTTGTGGAATAAGAGAAAGGAGGGATGGAGTCAGTCAATCCATCCCATCAGAGATGGAGATGGGACCACCAGGTGTGAACCCACCTCCTTCTCTCCCTGTGCCTCAGTTTCCCCACCTGTAGACAGGGCTTCTGCCCCTTACCTTTTGGGAAATGTCCTGAGCACTGAAGAGAAGACATGTACACAGTCCCCTCAACACTGCAGGCCCCCATGCTGGCTCCCTCTGCCCCTCTGCCTTGTTTTGCATCCAACCTGGATGTCCCTCATTGCTCTCAGCCCTCTGGAAACTTATTCTAGACAATAAGAGCTATGACATCTAAGAATTATTATACTTGGGGCTTTCCGAAAGCAAAAGATTCAAAAGTTGAAAGTTCTGACTTTGCCATACATCTCTGTGTCATAGCATTCAGTGTGGTGCTGCGAATGTGCTAGCCACATCAGAAGTATTCACCGGTTTAATGGTTTTAAACGCAGATGACTGAGGCTGAGAGTGCCATCACGCCCCTCATATTCTTAGTAGGCCCCTCAAGACTAGGAGGTGGTTGTGAACGTGTACATTATCTACCACCACCACCCCACCTTTATGGGTGGCAAAACCTGTGTGTGAGGTGAGGTGACTTGTCAAAGAGCACCTAGACTGGAATCTAATGGTCTCTGTACTCTCACGGACTACCCATTCATTGGTAATGAGAAAGGAAGGGAGCACCCTTGAGCTTGTCCCCCAGAATCTGTCCAGCATATTTCTCACACTCTCAGAAACTCAGTGCCAATGAGGGGGAGCACCTGACCCAGAGAATGCCATAGTGGAAACCAAGTTGGAACAAAATTCAGTTTCCTCTGGGCTCTTCTCATTTTTTCTATGTGCCTTCAATTCAAAAGGAAATAGGTAGGGAGTACCTGGGACTAACAAAATGAAGTAATACTCCAGGTCCTCAGACCCCTAATAAGTCAAATTCCCCCAGAGAGTGACTGGAAGTTTCCAGATCCAATTTTCCATCTGCCTGAAAGGCCTAAGATTTGGTTTGGCTGCCCAGCTGCTGCCCAGGAGGCTTAGAGATGGCATTCAAGTGCCAGAATCCATGGGTGGGGCCCAACGTAGGGACCCCAGAGTGCCTGGCTACACAGTGCTCTCTCTAGCACTAGTCCTGACCCAGTTGTCATAGGTGAGAGGAGAGCCAAGCAGGTTCTGGGAGAGGAGTCAGGGCTCCAGGAGACACTTGACTTGTCTCTCAAAGAAGCCAGGTGCATGCTCCAGTGATACCCAAAGCAGCTTTCTCCCACAGCAGCCTGCCTCTCTGGAATTGCCTTGGGCCCCAGCACAAGGTGGTGCTGGGAAGTAGTCAGGGGGTCCTGCTCTGAACTGTGCAGCCAGAAGGAGCTGGGCAGGCAAAAAGAGTCATGGACAAATTTATTTGTATTTACTAACTCAACAAATATTTGCCAACCACCTGTTCTCTACCAGACTCTGTATTAGGAACTGGGGATTCTGTAGCGAATTGGATATAATGTTTGCCTCCTACAGTCAAGTAAGATTTTGCGCCCAAGTAGCTAAAATATAAAACAGAGTGGCAGTGTCCTCAAAGAGGGACTCTAAGACATGCTGCCTGGTCCAATCTCAGTCTAAGCCTACAATGCCGGGTGACCTTGAGCAAGTCACTTAACCTCTCCAATCTCAGTTTCCTTCCTCAATGAGCTATTCTAAAAATTTTAAACCAGACAACTGGCTTAGAAGTACTTTGCATATAGGAGTTAAACAGGAAGAGATGTTTACTAGTATTTCATAATTTCATCATTAATGAATAAACCATTTATTCAGCACCTTCCAAGTATCAAGTATTTGCCCAGCATCATGTACAAATATTACAACAAACCTGGTAAAGCTGTATTGTTATCAATGTTTTAGAGACAGAAATAAAGGACCCAGAGAGAGGTGTTGACTTACCCATGGTCACACAGACTGTAAGTGACAGAGTGGTGAATGGAGCCTAAATCTTTCACATTCCATAGCCTATGTTCTCTCTGAATTGCCTTCATGGTTCCTTCTTCCTCTTAAGTCTTTCGTTCAGTGATGATTTATTGAACCATTCCCGTGTGCCAGGACTGTGTGAGGCTCCAAAGGCACAGAGGTGAGCAAAACAGACCTGGAGTCTTCCCTCATGGCCTGGCAGTCTAGTGGGGAGGAAGACAATGAAGATTATAAACCTAACTGTTACCACAGGGGAAAGTCATAACCCACAGCAAAAACTTATCTGGGACTCAAGCAAAGCCTTGCAAGAGAAAATTATTTTTTTTAAACAACTTACTACTCTTTTTTTTTAATAAAGATTTATCTTTATTTATTTATACAAGCACTGGGTACAGTTAGAAGCGCAGCAGGGCGAGAGAATTCACCAGAGCCAGAGCGGGGAGCAGAGCAGGCAGAAGGACCGAAGTACACTGCTGAGGGGAGCAGTGGGCGGCAGGAGAGGTCTGCGCGCCATGTGGGACCCTCCTTCGGTGGCCAGGGAGCAGCCGGGGATTGAACTGGCGCTGCAGAGGCCGCGGGCAGCTTCGCAACCCAGCGCTCAACCACTGCGCCACCGGGGAGGCCCGAGAAAATTATTTCTGAGATAAAATCTGAAGGCGACTGAGAGTTGCCCAGCCAAGATGTGAGAGGGGAGGAACTGTATGGAATTTAGATGGTCATGGATCCATGGGCGATCAAGGAACAAAGCAGAACACACAGTTCAAGCAACAGTAAGAAACTAGGAGCACAAGCAGCAGAAGAGGATTGGATGAAAATGGAGGCAGGGCCTTAAAAAAAAAAAATCAAGTAGTTTGGACCTGATCTTGAGGGCCCTTGAAAGTTAAGTTCATAGGGTATCATAGTCCCCATTTGATGTGTTGTAGCTTCCTCATCTGCCCTCTGCCTGGTCAAATCAGCTGTGCGTAGGGACAAGGCCAGAATGACCAGAGAAGCTGAGGTCAGCAGAGCAGCAGAAAGGACAGGGAAAGGTGGGTTCAGGGCAGCACCAGGGACAGCTCTCAGTAACTCTTGCTACTCAAAGGCAGTCAGAGGTCATTCATTCATTCATTCTAAAAATACTTGAGGTGAAGATAGCTTCACAGTGCTATCTTAACCCCCTGTGCCATCAGAGGGGCCTACAAGGCATATTTAAAAAGTTTTTTCCAATAGCCCCAATCTTGGAATGACCTAGGAGTATCAATTGTAGAATAGATACATTGTATTATAGTACTATAGTAGAATATTATAGAATAACAATGAAGAATTCAAAAAAAAATTAATGATGAATTTTCTTTAGAAATTAAAGAATATTATATTATTCTACTTATGTAAAGTTCAAAAGCACACTAACTAATCTATAGTTTTAGAAGTAAGGATTATGTTTATCTTGAAGGTGGACAGTAATTACTAAGAATGACTTGGAGGGCAGAGAGGGGGTATGTTCAAAGAACATTATTGACTCCTGTACTGACAAGCAAGCTGATGTTCTTGTTGATTATTTCTTCCCTCCAAGCCCATTGATATCTACTCTTTTATCAAATGGTGACCCTAATGCCCTCTCCTCTTTTTCAGTGTGAAGTACTCCAATCTGATGTTTAAGCCAGGTATTTAGAAGAGAGTATTCCCAGATATTTAGAACTTTATACTAAGCAAAATAAAAATAAATAAATAAATAAAAATACTTGAGGTGATCATTCTGGATACTGGGGAATACATCAGAAAAATAAACAGACAAAATACCCTGCCTCCTTGAGCTTACTTTCTAATAGAGGGAGACAGAAATATACAACAAACAGGACAATTATGCATTCTATTAGGTAACATGTATACAGAAAGAATAAGGCCAAAAAGGGGGATCAGGAGTGCAAGTGAAAAGGGGGAGTGATTATAAATTTAAATAGGCTGCACAGAGAAGGCTGCATGACAAAAGTAACATTTGGGCTAATTGATGAAGGAGGTGGAGGAAAAGTCAAGGACCTCAATAGGGAAACGTGTCTTAGGCAGAAGAAACTGCTGGTGCAAAGTCCCTGAAACAGAAAAAAATCAGGCATGTTCAAAGGCCTGTGGGGATTCTGGGGTGAGAGAACAGATGTGGATGATTTCAGAGCGATGGCAGGGAAGGAGTCAGAGGGTAGAGGGACTTGGTTTTTACTCAGGGGTGAGATGAGGAGCCACTGGGGAATTTTGAGCAACAAAGTAACATTATTGACATCTTTTCACAGGACCCCTCTGGCTACAGGGCAGATATGAGATTGTGAGGGTTACAATGGAGAGGGCAGTTCAGATGAGGTTAAAGTAGGAAAGCTGTGTTCAATACAGAAAGTATTAACAATCACAGCAAAGGAGACAGGACATGACTATGACTGGGAGGCCAGGTGAGTGCAAAATAGAGAGGAATCGTGAGAACCCACACCACTGGCTCCCAGACAAGAAGCTCAACTCTATGGGCATCTCTGGAAACTGGGACACCCAAAGGGAAGATGAGTGCAGGGGAGTCCAGGCCTTAGGGGAAGATTCTTGCTCCATCCTGCCTTCTAAAATCTGCATTTCCTAGCCCTTGTTCCTAGACTCCTTATTACTTCATGAATCTCCTGTATTAAGTCTTCCTCCAGTCTAGCCTCCATGCTTCCCCCTGAATGCTCTTCCGAAATACATTGTGAACACTGCCACACAGTTTCACAAACACCTTGAGTGGCTTACAAACACCTTTCAAGGCTGTGTGGGACAGGTGACATTGGGGTATAAATGGGCTTTCAACACTAGGTAGACTCTAGACATGTAGAGATAAAATTGGGATAGGGAAAGAAATAAAGGGTGTTTCAGGCAAGGGAAATAGAATTTCAGGGGGAAGGATAATTTGGGATATCTTAATTGAAAAATACACTATGTACTAGGGAGTAGCTGGAGCTAAGTCTGAGAAGATCATTTGGAACCAGTTCAATAAAAAGAGCCTTGAATGCCAGGGGGTGAGGGAGCAGCCCCCTCCTCATGTACCTAGAAAGGTTCCAAGGTGGTCCTCTTAGTGGAGAGGGTTAGACAGAATCTAGCAACACAAAAGAAAATGGCTTCTTGTATCAGATTTTAAAAAGCAACTTTAGCAGTCTTTTGGAGGGAAAGAAAAAAAAAAAACCTGCCAGGCTCTGTTTGATGGTATAGACAAGGGAGTTTTGGAGACAGACAGGTTTGTGGATCAAAATATAATGCTCACCACTTAAATAGCTTTATTTCTCAACAGCTACACTAAGTCCCTAAGCCTCCTAGCACAAGGGAGGAGGTAACAGGCACCATAGCTCCTCATGGAGGGAAGATACCCCAGTCTGCAGGCACCTTAAGCTCCAACTTAGACCCCAGAGGGGAAGTGGAGACCCATCACCAGGGGGTGGCTTTGGAAGGAATCAAGAAGGCAGAGGAGTTGCTGGGTGGAGGTGTATCTTCTTAGATTCTGGGCCCACACACTAATCTCGCCCTAATTCTGATATTGAGGCCTGAAAAGGAAAGATTTGGAGACCTATTGGGGGCTGAGGAAAAGATCTCAAGGGGTCTCAATTGCCCACCAAGCTCAACTTCTTGATGGGCTTCTATTTACCCTGCTCTGGACTTGTTATACACAGCTACCACTGCTGGCTCTCACCATGTGGGAGCTTTCAAAAAGGTTACTCTCCTACCCCCAGCCTATCCTTAGTACCCCACAAGGAGATATAGGCCCATAGACCTCTACTGAAGATCAGGGAGAACAAAGGACTTGCAGCTGTGAACTGGACTCCAAATAGAACTTTTCCAAGTATCCAAAGCAAAGAAATCAGCAACCCTCCCAGGACTCCCTGGGGAAGTCCCCTTAGGTGTCTAGTTTCTAGACTAAGCTCAACCCTGATCAAAAGGTTGGACTAATCCAAAGTTGGGGCAAGCCACAGTACATAGTAAGCCTCTAACAGTATCCCTCCCAAGGCTGAGTCTGTTAGAACCTCACAGTGTGCCAGCAGAATGACATCCAAGGGCAGTCCTTTTCAGTTTGCTTCCACCGTGAACTTAAAATGGTAATGATTGGAAACACACACACACACAATGTTCCAAAGTTAAATAAACAATTTTCAAAGTCAGCATAAGTTCTAGACTAGTAGGGGAATGGCAAAAAAATCTTTCTAAATCCACATAATCTGCACCGATTCTCTGGCCCACATGGAGATTCAGCAAAGCAATATCAGGACCCCTTTTTTGCTCAAATCAGGTGGAACTGAGCTTGTTACTTGAAATGTTACCTCATCTCTCTGTATTGGTTTTTAGCTGCAAATAACAGAAATGTATTAACTCAGAAAACAGAAGATCTAGAGTGACCTTTGGGGTGGATTTAAAGGTTCAATGGTGTCTTCAGGGTTCTTCCAGGCTCCCTTTTCCACCCAAAAATGTAATGTTCAGTTACTGCTGACATCACTTCTCTATGAAATTATCCATATGACACTAACTGAGGAAGTAGAGCGAATGGTTTTTACTACATGTCTTTCTAGGGTATAAGGCAAGCAAAGGCCCTAAGGTCCCTGGCAGGGATCTCTTGTGTTTCGTTGACCAAAATTGGAACTCTGGCTTACCTTAGCCAATAAGTAAGGGTATAGACAATGGCAAAGGACATGGAATTTTCTATAGGCGAATCAACTCTGGCTCAGCTCTAAAGCTAAGGGGTGACTCAGAGTCCCCCAGAGGCAGATGGCTGTGGTTGTGTGCACATGAATGGGTTACCACAATCACATTAGAGTTTTGTTGGGACGGAACAAAAGGAGGATCATTAGCAGGTTGTCAACAACATGCACTGTACTGTACCCAGTGGCTGTTCTGCTCGAAGCTTCCCTTAAACTTGGGCAGAGAGTTTTCTCTCACTAGTCTCTCCGAGAAGTTGGTGGCCAGTAAAGACATCGCATACCATGTTTAGAACCATCCTTCAGGTTTCAAACTCTGCTCTTCCAGAAAGCTCTTCTGTTTGATGTTGGGGGGTAGACTGGAGTGAGGTGTGGCTGGAGGCAGGAATGTCAGTTGGGAAGTCCATCAGGTTGTCAGTTCAGGGCCCGTGAAACGAGGAGGCAGCCCGGCCCTGTAATGTCAAGGCATGAGTCATGAGCAAGTTTTCGATGGGAGGGCTGAAGATGAAGATGAGAAGGATACGCTCTAGAAGGAGACTCTTGGGGACCTGCCAAAGGAGGACGTCAGGGCCTTGAGCCCTTTCATGAAGGCAGGGGAACAAGATTCCATAAGGAAGAGGTGGAGGGAGGAGACCCTGCAAGCCATGCCCCTCACTTGTCCTGAATGTGCAAGGCAGACTGCACAGACAGGGCCCCATCAGGAATGTTCCAGATAGCCTCTACCCATCAGTCAGCTCAGCGGATCTTCCTTGAATAACTTGAACAGGGGTCCTGGGATCTGCTTCCTGCTGCTGGCCCTGCTCCAGTCTCACCCCCACCTTCACTCGCCAAACCTCTTTCTTCCTTCAAGAAGTGCCTGTGCTGTTCCCTTATCAAAAGTCTTTGTCCTGCCCAGAACACCCCCACTTTGTCCTCCATATGGAGCATTTGGAGCCTCAGGTGAGTGAGTACCCCCCACTTCACTCACTTTAGGTGAGGCTAAATGCCTCACCTTTGAATATAATTCCTATCCCCATATCAGTCTGTCCATCTCTCAAATGAACTGTGAGTTGGGTGCCCTGTCCTATTGGCACATGACATGCTGGTTTCCCTGTCCCATTAGCACATTGCCCTTTATCCCATATAGCCCACAGAAGGTAAGTTCACATCATTATTAATAAACACTGCTGAGGGGGTGGGGAGAAGCAAATATTGTTTTAAAAAATTTAAAAAATAAACAAATAAACACTGCCATGCATTAAGTATTCACCACATGCCAGGCAGCTTGATAAGAACTGTTTATATTTTATCTTCAATATCCTACAAGGTGATCATGATTGTTGTGATTTCACAGATGAAAAGACTTCCTATACACATCTGCCATCCCAGATGAGAGGACAGCTGCAAGAATCTGGAACAATGTGACCAGGGACAATTCAGGTTTGGGCCTGGATCAGGTCCCAGGGAGGGTAAAGAAGTTCAGAGGTATACAGAATTGAGTTATGTATCCAGGTTTTAGGGGCAAAAGACTTAGGTTTAAATTGCAGCCAGTTACCTGCTGTGTGACCTTGGGCAAATCACTTCACCTCTCTGAGTCTCCATTTCTTCCTATGTAAAATGGAGCTAGTTGTGTGGGGTACAGAGCCTGAGGGAGGCTGCAATAAGGAAACAGTGAATAAGCTTAGTATCGCGTTGGCAAGTTCTCAGCGACAGAAGCTAATACCAATTCTATCATGGAGAGCCCATACCCAGGGCTGAGGCAGGTGTTTTTCAAAAGGCCTTGCCCATGCAAAATGAGACTGGTCAGGCCCAATGGCTCCCTGCACCCCCAAGAGGCTCCCAGCAATGCCTGACACCTGAAATGAGTTCAGATATGCTGACAGAGAAAGGGGGAGAGTAGCTGTGAGGGGTGCTGGCTGCTTCCTGGCGAGCCAGGCATTACCCTTACTTCTCCACAGCAAAGAAATAAAGGGAGAGGGGAATGAGAGAAGAAAGGAAAGAGATGAAAAGTGAGGTCATCTCATTGCTAAAGCAAACATGGCTTTGGGCAAGGTATTTTCCTCACTGAGCTTCCTCATCCAACTCTGTCAAGTGGGTAATAGCACCTCCTTTCACTGACAGGGTGAAGAAGTGAGATCCTGTAGATGGAAGCCCCCAGCCAGGGTGTAGTCCCCAGAAACATTTGGTGAGTCGTTGGGCAACTTTGGGGTGAGCTGTGGCCTTCACAGCAGTCAATAAAAACAATAGAATAGCTATTGTTTCCCCAGTACCTGCTCCAGTTACTCCTCACAGCTACCTTTGAGGAAGGTATCATTATCATCATTTGCAGGTAAAGAAACTGATAATTAAGCAGTAAGCAGGGATGACATGGCCAAGGTCATGCAGTTAGCAAGCCAAGATGACAGATTTGGCGGAAGTCAAGTTTTGTTCCCTGATTCAAAGCTATGGAGTCCCCGTGAGTCAGGCCCTAGGTCTTGGAGCCTTGCCTTGTGTCTCCCATCCCAACACAGGGGTCCCTGAGACACACCTGGACCACAAGTGTGCACAGAGGAGGAGCCCTAGACAGAAGTCCAGAACTCTGCATCCACGGCCCCTCCTTGCTGGACTCGTCCTACATGACTTCCTCTCCTTGGTCTCAGTCTCTCCATCTGTTTAGTGGGGGTGCTGGAAGTCAGCACTCTCGGGGTTTTCCAACTCTAACACTCTGAGACTGTGCAGACAGTAGCAGGAACTCAGAGGAGGAAAATTGTCTTAAATGGGAATAGTGCGCAATGTTCCTCCATCCCTTAATAACCACTAATTAGCTAATCCCTGTAGCAGCAGGGTGAGTTATCGGCTATTATTATTCTACTTTACAAGCAGGAGGCTGAATGAGAGAGGGATTGGCCTCAGGCTCAGGGCAGGGATGGAATCAGTGAAAACTCTGCAGAGGTTATAAATTGCTTCAGAATTGGGGGAGGGGGCAGTAGCCAAGTTGGGGGGGAAGTGAGGGAGGCCTCTTGGGGGAGAAAGCACATAGGAATGTACTTCTGAGCCTCCTGGAGCTGAAGTTCCGTAGAGGGGATCTTAGCCAGCTTTCTTCTTGCATGGATAGGCAGACGGAGGCCCAGAGAGGAGAGACTGGCCCAAGGTCACACAGCCAGAATCACAGACCACGAGTACACAGTGGCATGGGTTCTCAGGTATACTGCTGGGGGGCAATGAAGAGCAAGAATAAGGGGGAAGTGTGGAGTCCCTAAGAGCAGGGCTCCCCCTGTGGCCCTCTCTAAATTCTTAGAGAAAGCAGCTAGCAATAAGCCCCCAGGGATTAGGTGTGTACTAATGGCCTGTGACAAAGGCAGCAGGATAAGCTCCCTGCTCTGCAGACTAAACAAGGTACAAGAGGCCAAGTCAAACAAAGGCTGGGATTTTGTGTTGGCCTGGCTGGTGGGCAAGAAGCACCTCAGCCTCTTGGGAGGCCAGATGCTGTGCCAACCACCCAGAATCTCCTCTGGTGGCCTTTCTTCCTTTGGTCACTGAGGGCTAGACAGAAGCATGACCACCCCTGTTTGGAGCACAGAATAAACTTTCCTCAAATTGCCCCCAAGATCACAAAACTAAGGGTCAGTGAGGACAAAGAAGATACTGATACTTTTGTCAAGTCACACAGTAAGTCACGTGGGAGCGGAGACCCAAGGCTTCTGACACCCCTCTTCACCACAGTCTCTCAAATTCTTCTTAACTTAGTGTTAAGTGGCATAGGAACTTTGAAATAGGGGGAAACACCATACTCTAATTTCTATCCAGAGTACTGTCATAGCTGGTATCTCACTGGAGTCCATAAGCGTAACATTTGGTGGCAGACAGCTTCTGCCTCTTTCAAGCCCCAAGATCTTGGCAAACTGCTTTACCACTCTGAGCCTCAGTTTGCCATGTATAAATGGGAGAGATAATGGCACCCTTCTTAGAGGGTTGTTGGAATGGTTAAATAAGTTAGAGTGTTGCGTTCTGTGCTTGGCAGTTAAGTGAGAACTCAATATTGCCCCTGCTTTTAGCATCTCTGGCACCAATCTGCTGAATGATCCCAGGAAAGGCCCTCAACCTCACTATGCCTCAAATTGTTTGTCAAATGAGAAGTCACAAAGATTTCTTCTAATTTCAAGGCTCTGTGATCTTTATTACCAGCTTCTCCCAACCCAGATGAGACAATGGAGCCCAGAACCAGGAACAGGGGCTGGGAGCCTCTGTCACTTGTGTTTCCTATCCTAGGCCAGGCTACCTACACCATCCCAGGGCTCCACACACCTGTTCCAGAATGTTCTCAAGTGTGAGTCCTCACCGCAGGCAGTCTGTCCATCCACAGAGCTACTGCTGAGTCACTCCTGATGCTGTTCCAAAGCTTTGCATATGACAGCAAATGATGAGATCTTGGGCCTTGAACGGTTGGGGAGATCTTAGAGATTAGGACTGCAGAGGAGGGTCAAGAATATTTGGGGGCCTCCTGGGAGAACACCATGCCCTTCTTCCCTGGCAGTGCTGCCTAAGGGAAACAAACCCTCCCTGTCTTGTTTCAAGTAAAAACAGCTGGAGACACAGGCATCCTCCTTTGTCTCGGGAATTTAGGAGTAGATCTCAATGGACTCCTCAGCCATGTGACAAAGGGGAACTTTCCACAGTCTTAATCATAAAAGGCTGTCCTGGTTGACTCTCAGCACAGTTTAGATTGTAGGACTCACTTCAGAAATGAGAATGACTTGACTTTGTGCCTGGGGCCATTTCTCACTCCTTCGCTCTGGTTCCCAACAGGAGCAAGAAGAGATCTGCCCCATGGGGATTAAGGAGATACTGTTCTCTGTGAGCTAGGGAGGTGGCAACAGGACTCGTGAGGAGATTACCTACCTGCCCCTGATTACCTGTCTGTGTGTCAAGTTTAAGCCCCTGGAGGGTTTGTGTAACACTGTTTAGGAATCTTAAAAAATAGAGACCCTATTTGCAGGATTATAGGGCGTGGAGACATTCTCGCCTTTCACACTTAGGCTTCGGATGGCTGCCAACCCCACTCAGTCCTGCCAGTTGCTGAACCCTGCTTTGCACAGAAGCGATTTATTCCAGTCTATTAAAAATGAGTCACATCCCAGAAGCCCCTTATCTTTAGAGTACATTCTACCATTAGCCAGTTTGGACTCAAAGTAATGTTCCCGGACATAAGAGTATTTGGAAAATGCTGTGTTGTGTTAAAGGCTCTGCTTCTTGAGGTGCTTACTGTGTGACCTGAGGCAGGCATTATCCACTTTGGGCTTCCATTTCTTAAACTATTACCAAAACATAATAACCTCCAGCCACATGTGTTGTTCATGGTTAGGTGAAGGAGTTTTTTGAAATGTATATTGTGGCACACATTCAAAGGCTTATCACTGTCTTCTGAAAAAGAAAAAAAGCTTAGGACAATGGTTTCCAAACATTTGTCCACAGTGGAAATATTGGCCTAAGTTAA